AGATCACCTGGCCTGTTTTGCTTGGTGATCAGCATTGAATGCAGCCTATGCTATGTCAGTTCTTCTTGGCCAAAATGTGAGTAAAATGAAAGACCATATGGCTTGAGTTTGGGCTACTTGTGTCTAAATCAATCAGAGTTAATACCTGTGCAGTTTTGTCTGGGAGCGTAGCCATACGTGCCATTCTCACAACGCTCACAGTGAAATCCTGTAGTATTCATCAAACAGTTATGGCATTCTCCAGTGATGGTGTTACAGATATCACTGTTGTTGTTACACTGACAGAGAGAGCAGTTTCCACCCGGCAAGTGAGGTTTACCAAAATACTTAAGCTGACACCTTTGTAAGGAAAAGTAATAATAAATTGAATAATATGAAAATAATTACAAGTTAACAAGAAACGAAAAAAAATATAAATATAAGACAATAGTAAATACACTCGGCTATTAACGTGTAAGCCTCATTCTGTAATGGATTTAACTAATCGGAGAGTAGAGCGCGCGTTTTATATTTGACTTCTTCACAGTCTTAGGCCTTGCTCCTTATTTTGTTTAGCCAATCAGAAAGTGCGCTTTAACTGAGTACTTTTGCGCGCTCTTTCAATTTTAAATGAGAGTGTCTAAAACGAAAAGCTTGGACCCCGGTCTAAGTATTATATTGATCAATCAGGGCGTGCGTCAATCATAACTTACTTGTCACAGAGATGCCCTTCATAACCAAKCGAACAGTTAGTACATTTTGGTTGTCCTTTATCATCGGTACAAAGAGACCTAGGGGAAAACAAAACCAACACAATCTAAATTCTTAGATCTGTAAAGATTCCAAGTGCTATGAGGACTTCCAAAAGCATTCGAGGACTTACGTTGTAGTCTTTGGGGCCTCACAMGGACAAGTCTTGCAATCACCCGGTGTCCCATCTGTAGCGTTACCATAGAAACCATCCAGGCAGCGCTCGCAATGGTCGCCAGTAGTATTATGTTCACAATTCTGTAGATGGAAGCCAATATTTAAAAAAAAATTACATAAACAATTCGCTTAAATTTTTTTTCTTTTTCTGAGGAGACGCAGGTTAGTTATAAGGAGCGCACGCTTTGAAATGCCTCAGTGAATAAAAGTATATAGTAATCTCGTGCGCGCTGTGATTGGCTTAATGGATTTCATAAGAGTGACCGTGACCATGCCGTGACAGTCACGAAATCTAGTCCACTGRTCAAGTATACTTACGTAACACTGTCCAGAACTAGCATARCAATCCAGAGTATGATTACTACAATCACATCGAGTACACTTGCCAAAGAACGAATCATTGGTGACGTTGATTCGGTAATGAGTTGGAGCACATCGCTGTTGAATGACAAGTTAACAACATATGTTAACTAAGGTATATGGAATAATATATACGTTTAGGCACTGCCCAAAAGCGGAATAGAAAAAATTTGGGCGTAATGTTTTCCCATTTAAGACCACGTGTCGCTCTCTTGAGAATAAGATTCTTTGTTTGAGTTGTATYCATGTTCATGAGTCTTCTCATGCACAACCGTTAAACAAAGAAATGATACTGGGAAAATGTTATGGGAGTGAGYGTTTTGCGTGACGACACTAATAGTGGCTGCGTAGGAAACTAAGAGACATCACACTAGGAAAGATATTCATATATTCCCAACCCTAATAAACTGCATACAGTGTACCTCGCATGAAAGACCGGTGTATTCTGGTCCACATTGGCACTGTTCAACTTCATAAGCTCTCTCCTGAGGTGAATCACTGACGTCTGGTAAAATAACGCCACCGAAGCTGAGAATGAAAAGGTTGAGAGGGTTAACCGGATTTTTTCCTGATCCCTGTAGAAAACAAAATCTGTTCTTATGCAATTTCCCACATCAAGGCCATGTTACAGCTCCCTTGGGATAAA